ATTTTAGATATCAAACTGTCATGTCACTAAAAGACTCAATCCATAAACGTGCAAATACTTAAAAAAAACAACTCTCTGCTTTGTGGTCATCACAAATAAGGAAAAAGATATTTCATAGTATCATTGGCAAATCACAGAGCACCATCAATCCTTAATTTCTCTTGCAAGAGACAGGAGAAATGTTCTCTCCTGTAGTTTCATCCATAAACTCATAAAAACTTTTGCTTTGTGTTAGTTTGTCTTCACGTAAGAAAGTGCCATCCAAACACATATCCATGGAGATGATATATGACAGCCTTTACAGTATGTGGCAGGATTAAGGATTTTCAAAGTTCCAATGTTGTCAACTCCTCCCTGATTTTCAAAGATGTTAATTTAATAACCAAAATGGAAGAGACTCCACAAGATTCAAATGAGAAATCGTCTTATTAGATGCCCATTAAGTGCCAGGCATTGTCCCTGGGATACAGAGATTAAAAATATATGATCCCTTCCCTGCTGTAACTGCACTTTCATTATGCTAATACACTGTGTACTTGAAATTCACACAGCTTCAAAGTCAGTTATAAAATTTGGTGTATATATAGTGCATTAAAATTCTATATGGAAGAGGAAAGAAAAATGATCTGTAAGAAAGAGCAAACCATTATATTTTTTGAAAAAGGAATTTTTTTGTTTCCCTGTACCTGGCAAAGGACTCACCTCATCGGTACCTAAGCTCTGTAAACTGTTTTCATTCCGTGACTGGCCACGAGAGTGCCGTCAGTTGTCAAAAGAACGTGTGTTTTTATAATGGTAAGAGATAACTAGAGTGCGTGTCCTGTCATAATTTAAGGAATAGATCCAGATCATCTTGGAGTCATTATGTAGTCAAGTGTCTTGCTATATATACTATTGAAAAACAAAATATTAAATCACAAAATGGTTTCCGTGGCTTGGCAGAACTGCCCCTGTGTAGTGTATGAACAGATCTTAAAATACATGCTAGCATTTCCACATTTGGGATCCAAAGTATTGTAAAAAAACAAGTGAAATAAAGCAATTTCTGTTTTCTTTTAACATTTTTTATTGAGTTATAGTCATTTTACAATGTTGTGTCAAATTCCAGTGTAGAGCACAATTTTTCAGTTATACATGAACATACATATATTCATTGTCACATTTTTTTCCTCTGTGAGCTACCATAAGATCTTGTATATATTTCCCTGTGCTATACAGTATAATCTTGTTTATCTATTCTACATTTTGAAATCCCAGTCTGTCCCTTCCCACCCCCCAGCCCCTTGGCAACCACAAGTTTATATTCTATGTCTATGAGTCTGTTTCTGTTTTGTATTTATGTTTTGTTTTGTTTTGTTTTTTTAGATTCCACATATGAGTGATCTCATATGGTATTTTTCTTTCTCTATCTGGCTTACTTCACTTAGCATGACATTCTCCAGGAACATCCATG